CAGGGACGCCGACGACGATGATGCGGTTTTCGAGTCTGTGACCGTGTTGGTGGCATTGATTCGAATGGCTGGAACGGGCTGGTTCTCCTTCCCCCGCAGCGCAGACTGCTTCGAGGGTCCGGGGCTAATGGTGGTATCATCGCCCTCACTGTCGACGTCGCTGCTGCTATCGCTGCTGATGCTCACCGGCTGTGTGTTCACGTTTGCGCCGTTCATGCGACCCTGCGCCTGCGCGAGCGGTGAAAGGCCGTTATTGGCAAAAGCCACCACACGTCCTGGTGTTGTCGGCTTCAATGGTGAGCGGAATGCGGATTTTGATGGAGAAAGGTGTCGATCCCATCGAGAGGGTACCTCGCGCGGTGGTACACGCTCATACTCGGACCCTTCGGTCAAGATAGATGACTCATCTGGCTCATCGCTTGGGATTTGCAGAAATCTATTGTCATTTTGGTTTCGGCCATGTGAAGAAGTCGTGGGACCTGGAGCGAACAGAGATGACCCAGACCGGCCCGGCTTCGGGGTGAAGTTTCGTTTCTGTTGGATCGGCGGGAACACGTCCCGCTCCGGGGTCGAAGGTGCGGCTGAACGTGATGGGGAAGGTGATGATGAAGCCCCATAGGTGTCTGCTACTGTATCATTGGAAGGCAAAATTGGTCCTCGAGAAGGCTCGCGGGAACCCTCTCGGGAGAACAGATTGACTCTCCGCTCGGGACTCGGTCTAAACTCCTTCTGAGGGATTGACGGGAATAACCCGCTACCCCAAATAGAAGTCTGCGGCTGTTTTGGTGCTGGCTTTTCGTACTTGGGTTGTGCGATAGGAGCAGGCTTTGATTCGGGTGCATTCATTGGTGGTACTGTTGCAGGGGATGAGAAGAATGACAAAATGTCAAACCCGCCCAGAAGTCTCGACTTCTTTGCCGATGGCTTCGCTTGACTTGACGAGCTATCGTTCTGCTGCTGCTGTTGAACTAGTGAATATTCTGTTGTGTCCACAGGCGCTGCATGCTTGGTCGTCTGTCTGTCAGAAGTTTCCTCTTCCCGCTCCGCGACGATTGAATATTCGGAACCATAGGTAGGTCCCATATTCTCTGCGGACTCTTGCAGCTCGTCATTTTGATGTTCTTCAGGAAGATCGTCGGCTTCGTGCCTGATCTCCTCATGCCCGGACTCAGAGCCTGAATCCTCAAGCCCGCCACGCATAATGACGTCTTGAATATTAGCTTCGTCATTTTCTGCACCGATCTCATCTTCTGGCGTCGTTAACTGATCGCGGTGTTCTGATGCCGGCTCCGGCTCCGGCTCAGATTGAGACTCGGGCTCGGAATCCGATTGTGGCTGAGGTGGGACAATAGATTGTCGTGGCCGAGCAAGATTTGACGGAGCTTCTTCAACCTCGCTCTGAGCGCTCTCCTCAATCTCTATTTGAGTAGGGCTTATGATTTCATCTTGATAGATAAGCCTTCGACTCGTCTTCCGCCACGGGCTTGGGATCTTGCTTCGCCGTGTAGGTGGCGCTTCAGTCGGCTGAGACGCTGCAACAGGTACTTGTGGCTTCCTGGGCGACGACCTGGACGCCTCAACATCCCAGAGGTCGAAATCGTCCTCCCCATCAGCCATGCTGTGGCTTTCTTCATCCTGCATTTCATCGACCATTTCGTCATTCTCGTCGTCGCGCAGAGAGTTCTCTAACTCCGCCGCGCGAGCAGCCAGTGTATCGCTTAGGTTTGTGCCTTGGGTCGCGAAACTCGAATTTGCTGAACGCACTTCTTGAGGATTCTCCTTTCGAGTAGTCTTTGGCGAAGGGGTGTCATCCTGGCCACTCATCTGGTCATCACTTGAAGGCATGGCTCTCGTAGAACTTGCCAACGACGGATATTTGACCGACGGAGCAGGCGCCGATCCTTTATCGTTCAAGACGTAAGCAGACCGCTTAAGTGACTCAGAGTGCGAATTATCATGCATATCTGGACCGAAAGGATCTTCAACAGTCCCGATAATATCACGGGAGTTGTTTCGCGAGTGGTTACTCAAGCTTGAACGCACACTTTGAGCAAGCGCTGCGGCAGCGAATGAGGGCCTGCGCGCATTTGACTGACTTTTCCTATTTTGACTAGACGGGGCTGGAGACCTCGAAGATTGACGAAAATACTCCATCTGATGAGGCGGCTCATTGCTAAAAGAGCCCCTAAAAGGACTCCCGAGACTGCTCTCACGACCCTCTGGGGATGACCTATCAGACATCACGTTCTGAAGGGTTCTACCAGCCCGAACAATAGGTGAAAGGGTTGGTCTCCGGCTCGGTGCTGTGACGTCGACCGATTTAGATCGGGATCGAGAGCGCTGTCTGTCTGAAGGGTTTTTGGAGGATGGCGGAAGGGTAGGCGCGGAATGTCTACGTTCTGGTGTGTCATTCAGTTCATGCTGTATATCTGATGTTGCCAAATCTGTTGCGATGGGTCGTTTCGTGAGGGGAGATGATGGTATGCTTTGTCGGAGAGAAGCGAAGGATGCAACAGTGGGCTCGATATCTGCTTCAATGTCGTCTTCATGAGATCTCTTGGAGCCAGAATGCGAGGAAGATGAGGTATCATCGGGAGTTGGAAGCCTACTTGAACCTAGGTTTGTTCCGGAACTCCTATTAGTCGAACTGGGCTCGTGACGTGGCGAGCTGCTATGATTGGCTTCCTCCGGGAATAAGACAGTTCGTTTCATGGGTGCTGGAGTTGCAGCTTCAAGAACCGCATCCGGTATCTCAGAGAAGGAATCATCATACATGCTTTCATCCTGCTGGCTGTTGCTAGCGGAGATTGGCTTAGCAGACAAAGGTCCGGGAGTAGCGGCCTTGAGTATGCTATCTGGTATGCTTGAAAAAGAGTCATTCGTACGTGGTGTTTTGGCAGCAAATATTTGGCGACTGAGCGGCGTTGACTTTGGTCTTCGTGGGCTCTTCGAAAATGCTCGAGCTCTGCTGTTTCCAGCTACCACGGAAGCATCTTCTTGAAGTTCATCACGATCCTCATCACCATTTTCATATGAAGAAAGATCGTATGCAGCGGCATGAGCTGGCTGGGCTGGCGATTTGCCATTGCCGTTGCCTTCGTTTTGCCAGCTTCGACGCAGCGACTCCATTGTTCGACTGATCATCATATTTGTTTCCTCGCCCATCTCGTGTTCAGGTTCTTCAGGAATTCTGCTGACGTTTGCGTGGAAGGATGCGTGAAACGATGGAAGGGACTCGACTGCGATCATGCTGAAATCAGATGCGTGTGTAAGGTTATCTTGCCCGCTATAGGTAACCCCTCCGGCGTCAGACTCGAAATCGCTCTGTGGTTCCATCGCTGGAAAGCCATCGCTCAAACCCGCATCGTCGTACTCTGCAGGATCTTCTCCATAAGATGGTGCAGGTGATTCTGACATCCGTTGCGCACTCTCTGGCTTCTGGAGCGTGTCTGGGTTCGCTGGGATTGGCGTACCGTCGCCTTCTCCGTAAGGAGAATGATCGGCGGGAGCATCATTTTCATGCTCAGCAGGATCCTCCTCTCTCGCCAGCTCCGAGGGCAGTTCTGAAGCTGGTCTGACTGCGTCCGCACCATGACCCGTATTATGTGCTTCAGCACCAGTTTCAGACATGACATCATTAACGTCTTCGGCAATCTGTACTTTGCGAGGGCGGCCGCGTTTTCTCCCCGTGGATTTAGCCGTAGTCTGAGAGGATGGGGCCGCCGACGAAACGGGAGCTTTCTTGGGTGTCTTTCGAGCTCGGGGCTTCGGTACCTTGGGCGTGTCCTCCTCGGCATCCTCAATTGTGTCAGTCGGCGCGTCGCTCATTATGCCGGTTTCGGATGCCGGCTCGCCATCCGCTCGAGTCTTTTTGGATGCCCTCTTCATAGGCGTAGCGGCTCTCTTACGGGTCTTGGGCATCGGTGTGCCATTACTAGAGCCCCGTGGCCTGCCACGCTTCCGCGGGGTCGCATTATCGCCTGCCAGCATGGATGGGTCGTCATTCAGAGGGACGGTGGTCGTTATAGCCTCTCGACGGCGGTTGGTTCGTGTCGGCGATGCTTTCCGACTAGGCGAGGGTGATTCGAATAATCTGCGACTGACAGTACCCCGCCTCATGTCTTCTTCCGCCTCGACAGTGACCAATATTCTCTGTGGCGATTTTTCGTTTCCAACATCGAGCTCGAACGTTCGCTTCCTTGGGGACCTCCTTGAGGGCGAGGTATATCTCATCGATGAGCTAGGGGGCGGTATGGATATCGCAGACAATTCATGTTGTGGCATGGTCTTGCCAATGCGCTGCGTACTCGGACGTGCCGAGCTGTAGACTGGAGCTGGGACATCATCGTCGGCCAAGGGATCAGGCGACGAGGGGAGGTCCAGGTAGGAGTCGGCCATGGCTGGCGTGGCCAGAATAAAAGATAAGCACAGTAGAGCGATACAGCGGAAAAGACGACATATACAAATACCGTTTGCGCATGAACTCAGGCTGCCTAGGTGGTGTTGACTGGTCCGAGTGTAACAAGATGGAGATGCTACTTGGGTGTGGCGGGTTTGATTGACCTGGCCAGAAAGTAAACAAACCATAATTTAGGTCTTGATCGGGCTTAGTGCGTAGCCCCGTCAATCGATTGTCTTCAGGGGACCCGGCCCCCACCCTTTGCCGGGCCTGACACAGTACCTAACCTGCCTACATAAGTACTTACTTAGGTATGTAGGTACTTGAAGTAGGTAGCACTGACAAGCTTGGCCAGTGCTCAGTGCCGGATCTACTAGGCCAATGACAGAGGAGTATAGATCCCTTACCGTACCTAGATAGGTACATACCTCTGGCACCTGTAGGGCTGGGATACCTGATAAAGCACGGAGGTCTGCACTTTTACATAGCACACGCGTATCAATCGTTAACCCACACCTTACTCAGGCAATAACTTACACAGCGAGTAGAGAAAATGAGAGTTGAAGAGCTAACCAAAAATCTAAAACGAAAGTGATTACAAGGGCTTGGCTGGGAATTGAACCCAGGACCTCTCGCAAATTTGCTTCAGGGTGAACCCTAAGCGAGAATCATACCACTAGACCACCAAGCCGTTGATGAAAGATTGCGTTTTTATTACAGTCCATGTCACGATATCGAATAGAATGGAGAGTATGGCCATTGACGGGTCCAATTGTGTACCCAAATTTGGCTTATCTGAGGCAAAGTCAGGTCGGCGACGACAAGTCCATTGATATGAGTCACACCACGATGGTTGGGGGCTCAGACAGGGAAGGTACGCCTGACTAAGAGAGTGCGCAAAGAGAATAAGTGATCGGTTCTCGTAGCAGTCATCCATTTCAAACATTGGATTGTGGGCAATTCACTTGTTGGGTCTGCTGCTGGACGTAATGGCCATTGTCGCCTTGTTGGAGGTTGATGAAGATAGCTGGTTTGGGAATGACTTTGTGGTGATCGTGCACTGGGCTCCCTGATATGCTTCGATCGTCTGAGACTTGTGTGTCGTGGGAACTATTATCCAGTAGAACTCAAGACAAGACCAGAGCCTAGAGATTGCAGCACTTAGGGCAAAAGAATTAATGTGGCCGACGAGAATATCGAAGCGACCGTCTCTCTCCATCATGTCTCCTAGACATCAGGCCCTAGGTCAACCGACGGGCCTGTCCATGACATCTCACCCGCCAGTATGTCGTCCACTGAAGGTCCAAGACCAGTGTCGGAAAACTGGAAATCGAAACCAGAAGCAGGGTCTGGAACCTGGAAACTACCCACAGGCATCCCAGAAAGATATCCCAGATCGAGCACCGGATCTTGTACTGGATCCGGCGACTGCTGGCTCTGCGTTTTCATTGCCTGTACGACACTTTGGCGAATCTCGACAATGCAAGGCCAGGTATGCCGAATCTCATGCATCGCTTCTAATATCGTATCCATAGCCCTGGAGATCCCACTGTCGTCGAGAGCTGCGTTCTCAAGCTGCCGTTTCATGAGGATCGTCCCGGCTGCCACTGACAATGTGTGTGCGAAATCGAGAGGCAATGCCGTGTACTTGTAATATTTGGAATAACTCCGCAGGAGCTTAAGGATAGCCTGTAGCGATTCGTAGCAGAATTCGACGTCTTCACTGGATTCTATCCCTGGCTTTTTGAATAAGTGACGCGGTGGGCGATGTAGGATAATCATCGCCGTGTGGAAGAGCATGCTTTAGAAACAGATTAGTCTTGCCATTTCCACGAGAACATCTTTCCTTTTCGACTTACTGAAGATGCAGCACAAAAGGCTGGACTTGACCGTTGGTATACTGATTCCAATGCAGCTTTCCAGGGAGGTTGGTCAGCCACTTGTTCAGGGCGACGTGGATACGCTGTGCTGTCGCAGCCAGGACAGAGCTGTCTGGGTTGTGACGCCTGTTTTCGAAAACATCTGTGATCATGTTGTGGACGATTTTGAGAAGCTCGACGCGATATATGAATGATCCAGAAAGGGCGATACCATCTTCATAGGCAGTTGTCGACACATCCTTGGCAATGTATGTTTCGAGAAGGCCTTGCCAACCCTCGGGGTAGGGGATGCGGATAGTGTTTTTCACGTCGGATTCATGCGGGTATAGTGCTGGAGGTCTGCCAAAGTATAGACTCAGCTGCTTGTCGGCGTTGAATGCAGCCCAGTATACACGACGGGAGATCTCTCTGTCAATCTGAGGTTCAGACGGGCCTTTCCAGTTGTTTGGGTCTAGATGAAGACCCATCTCGTGTGCCAGCCGAAACGCCATGCCGCAGAATAGCCAGCCTTTGGAAGCCTTACCGTGGCCGATGAACCAATATCCCAGCAGGATCAGGGTCTGGAGCAAAGTTAGGTCTGGCTGGCCCAGTGAAGTGTACACTAGGTTCTCAGCTTGCATGGCAAAGTTTTCCGAGACGTGCACCATCGTGAGATCGCCTTGAGAAAGAGCGCCTAATGCGCAGATGGCGTAAAGGAGCTTCTCGGAGTAGTATCTGCCAGCTCCTTTGTCGTAATCTCTTAGGAAGAATTCTCTATACAGGCACATGTTATATGCATACTGGTGCTTGAAAAAACTGGCCATCGTGGATTGACACATCTCGTCGTGGGGCGAGTAGGGGAAGAACGCCAGTATCGAGGAATCAAGGCCAGCCGGGAGCATGAGTTGAGTAGCTTCGTCTGAAGATGACTCCATGTCTCCTGATGCCGAAACCATCGGCCCATCTTCAGGGGCGTATATTTGAAAGAGACTCGTTCCTCCAAAAAACTGTGTGGCGCTTCCAGCCCTCTTCTTCTTCAGCTGACAAGCGCGCGCTCTGGCAAGAACGAGTTCATGATCTGGACTCGACCCGCTCCTATCTTCTGTAGGCTGGAGAATATCGCGTGCGGTTACCGACTTGGGCACGTAGCCTGCCAGCATCTCATCCCGCTTCTCATGACTGGCAGAAGCCAGGCGCTGGATGAAAAGCTCCAATGAGGCAACATTGCGCTCCAAGGCTTGGACATGGCTTTTAGGCGCGGGCCTTTGCTACAAAGGTCAGTTGAAACCTGCTTCAAGTGGATTCATTGTAACTGACCTTTTCTTTTCACCAGGACCATCGATTATGCATTGAGCGCCAGACTTCTTGCATCGTGCACATGGGTATGTGGTTCGAACACATTTGACCTTCTTCTTTCTACATCTTTCACACGATGTAGTTGCTACATCTCCGATGCTCGTTGTTGGTACCGTTGTGAGGGGATCGTCATTCATTAGCAGGAGACAGAAGCCAGGGTTTCAGGAAAGCGCACAACGACCGAAATCAGGTATCCGTGAAGTTGTTGTAGGATACATGAATTTTGTAGTAGAGACGACAGTGAGCTGAACATGTCCTTGAAAGCCGAAGATAGGATGTAGGCCGGTATCTAGCGCAACATGAGTCTCCAGCTATTATGGTCACCCAGTATATGGCCCAAGCGCACGGTCATCACACACTGTATCTATGGCTTCCTGCACATTAGTCCAATAACAACGATGAATTCTGCCCTCAGCTCCAAAGAAACCTGGGTATACTTATTACTGGCTTGACGGCAGAGGACCCTAGAAGCTTGCGCTCGCCGAAAACACCTCGTCTCAACTGAAAACTTATAATGGAAAGCTCCTTGTGTTGGGGCTTTCTGGGCGTATGAAAAGGCCGTGTTCATGCTGAGAAATAGAAATCCGTTGATCTAGTGGTCGATATGTGATAGGTGGCATATGTCCTCGATATGGGTCTCCGTAGATCATACATTTATTCCGATGGAGTTGACGGAGCGAAAGAAGAACTATGTTGGATGTATAATAAGTCTCTGCTTATACTTTATGTAGCACTCACAACGATGGCCATGTTCATGACTGCTTGTGTTCGCGCAATACGCCACTCAGCAAATGCGCGCAAGGTCATTTTCAAGTCTGTTGCAATGCCATGTGTCGGTTGACGGCAAGGAATACACAGCAGCTGATATGCCTCCCTACAGATACCCCAACAACCTGGAAGTTGGGAGCGCAGTAGCCAAGCTTGCCTTTCTACAGATTCCCTTGTAGTGAATATTTGGAAGATCGTGGAAGTCATCCTTAAGCATACCCTAGTCAAGCAGTATCACGGCATAAGCAAATATGCTACTAATACATTAGATACATACATTGCAACGTGCCAAGATGGATATTGCCCATGATATGATCCAGTTGAAATGAAATACTTAGGTACACGTAGCCAGAATTTGCTAACTGAAGTAGGTACTTACCTTGTACTCTATCACCTCCTCCTGACACCACCTAGACCATACCCCGCATGACTGTTGACTGGCAGAGAAAGCGGGATGACGTCCCCAGCAGCCTTCCCCAGCTAGGACGACTGCCGGCTCCAGGCCTCCCTGACAGGCGCTAAAAGATGCGCCCTGGTCTCGGCCTTTAGTGGCATGCACATACACATGTACTTGCTGGGGGCTGCTAGGGGTAGCTTGGGGAGCTTGGGGAGCTAGCTGGGTGGGGATACTGACTCCGTTCTGCGTACTTACCTAGGTAAGTAGGAAGTACCTACAGGTCAGTATGGATGGAGACACCAGCCATCTCATCTGGCCTTTCATGTTAACCTTCTTCCATCACACATATCGCCTGGATATATCGATGCCGATTCAATTTATCGTCCAACTGCCGTATACCCTGTTCTCATACGGCTCCTTTCACACGAAAGGCTATCCGAACTGTCTGATTGCGGCACAGTCTGGCTAATTAGTGCCCTGGGGTACCCGTGGTGGGCTACGTTGCAAGGCTGACTTCGCCCGTGTCTGTCCATACTCCCAACCTATGTTGCCACTTCACCTTGCCACTCTAGTTACGTCTCATCGTCATTAATATATGTCGCCATGGCGGATCAAAGCCAGACAACCCGAGTTGCATCGAATGAGAGGACACCTCTGCTGCACAATCCCGCCGTTGACGATAATGGCAATGGGTCCGATGATCGAATGAGGGATGGAAGCTCAGACGAGGACTTTACCAGACTGAACCGCCAGATTAAAACATGGCGTCGCCGCCGTTGGATATCCCTTATCGTCAGCGCTTTCCTCATTGTTGCTTTTGTCGTCATCCTGATTCTCTCTGGAGGTACGTCTGTCGCCAAGTCCCATTTCAACTACGGTACCTTGAAGTTGCTGCTTTCGTACCCGAGACACAGCATCTTGCCATACACATCCATTCCTATGGCAATATTTCTAATAGCCTTACTCTCTGACCCCATAATTCCCTCTTTGCATTTCCTCGTTCCAACCTCCCGTTACCACAAAAACCGTCTTCATTGATCTCATTCCTTAACTGTAGCCAAGCCTTTGACCATATATCGCAGTACTCTCCCGCAAGGGGCGCAAGTCGAAGATGAACACGTCAACATGTACGACACCGGCGGTGAGTCTTTGCCATGATCTTGGGCTTCCTGGCTCCCACATGATCGCTCAACTCCGTCTAATTTCACACTTTACTAATTCCCAGAACAGTGTATTCACGCAGCGTCTGAGATCCTCTGTAAGTTGTCCATTCCAGACCTTTCTAATATATGATAAATGGGTTAACCCATA